ACAAACCGAGGTCAAGGGCACAGAGAGACAGCGTAAACTAGGACAAGCCGGGGTCTGGTACACGGAAAACAGCAAGCCGGCAAACAGTACAGATAAGGATAAAGCGAAAACGAAGTCAGAATACGAAGCCAAAGTCAAAACGAGAAAACACAACTGAACACCACAAGCGCTAAAGGGAACTGAGACAGAAACCACGATAGGGCAAGGAACAAAGGGAAGAAGGTGAGTATAAATACCTAAACATCTAATTTGATTGGTCCCTGTCATATCCACGCCCCCAAAAGGTAAGTGTATGGGGAGTGTGGCATGACAGGGACCAATGGGATGCCTTTTCCAATTTAGGCACCCACTGTCCCTTTAAGAGCGCGCCCGAGACTCGCGGCGCGCTCTTAGATTCAGGCGGGACACGTGACCGCCTCACGCGGTCACTGCCCGCCGTCCATCCGAGGTAGCTGGATGAGCCGCGCGCGGCTCGTGCAGCCGCAGGACCGCGCGCGGCTTGAAGAGAGGACCGCGACCGGCCCCCGGTTAAGGTAAGTAACGCTACACATTCCTACCGAATGGCGCTCAGATTGCATACATACAGTTCAATCGCCATGGAGCCAAAGTCTTTCCCATAGTCTTTTGTTACACGAATAGGCTCCATGGCTTAGCTATCTGGGGTGATGATGTTCATCCGGTTAAACTACCGCATGAACAGTCATTCGGTTCCGCTACCGAATGGAGAGGTAAGGAGGCTGGCGGCTCAGCGGTGTTCGCACCAATAAGTGTCCGTTTTCAGTTCCATAGTTTGGGCGCTGAACACCGCTGGCCGTTCAGGAGGTAAAATGGCCACTGCCACGTGTTCGGCAGATGAACAAAGGCCTCCCAGCGTTCATCAATTAAGCTGCGGTTAACCGCAGCTTCTGGGCCGTCAATTGACGGCACACTCCAGTTCCCAGGTGGTCCATTGTTCGGTAGATTGAATCTACCGAACACCCCGGCAGAAAGGCACCAATAAACCTTTCATCAGGGGAAATAACAGGGCTGAACTTCAGGGCCATAGTCTAAAGGGAGCAGGCGAGCAACCAGGCTTCTCCAGTGCATAGTGGCGAGGTTGGTTCCGCCACAAAGATTGTAAGCACAGATATCAGAAAACAGCTGCTAACGTGATATTTAAACACTGCATGAGGTTTTCATGATTAGTTTTGGGGTTTTGTCCTTGTGGTGTTTCCTATCTATACTTCCCACTTTCACTTCCTGTAACATTGTAACTCTTTTTAAAGAGAACTCCTGAAATGCACCGATATCCCCATAAAGCCGTCTATTGCACGACGGTCTCTGTAAAAGGAAATGTGTCATTAAGACGGTGTTATATTATGACTGTTGGTCACTATGGTAACTGGCCACAGATTGCGGGTTTTTACATCTCGTGTCTGAAAGAGAAGACTCTTCCTGTGATTGGCATATAAAGGGTTATTCACTAAATTCAAGGTGAATTTCAAGTTAAGGCCAAAGTAGCCAACGTAAAAAGCATCACAGACTTAGAGAATTTTTCGAGTTTAACTCTTTTGTCCTTAAATTTGAAACTCACCCTGAATTCTCACTCTAGTGGATAACACTCATAATGAAGAATTCATGTTTATCCTTAGGTAAAGCTAATGGATATCCTAAGCTTTACTGTAAGAGCATAGACATCCAGTATTAAGCACAGAGACAGCAAGCGTACACAAGCTGAGCCCTGTGTGTGTCTCCCCTCCATGTCAGGTTTGTGGGCAATGTTTGGGTATTTGGCCTAAACCATTGAATTTTAATGCACAACATGCATGCGCCAGTGACCCCACTGGGTCTCAGTTTACATTTGGAGACACACACGCACCCCTCCCGTAAAGAGCCCTGTTGAGTAGTTGGTGATGGGAGGATGACAGAGGGTTGAGCTCCAGTGAGGTTCTGAAAAGCATAATTTTTGCACCATTGTTGTAAGCCCCAAATCTCCTGTAATACTGCGAGAGAATTAACACCTCCAATTATATCATTTGTCACAGCTACCCTTTAATGCACAGCAAGTTAACTACAGAGCACAGTGTGTGGGGTTTAATGCAGCATGGTTTTGGGCTAATGCAGCAGATTTGCATTTTATAAATATTTGTGATACTCGGAATTCAATGAACGATCTGGTGTCACAGTGGGATTTATAGAACATTAGAGATTAGGGTTGGATTTTGCAAGCTATATGGCTGGTTTTAGGAGAGGCCCAAGTGAAAATGTGCAGGAAAGTTATAAAGGTTATCCTTGGGCGGAAGTCCCTGGTAATTTAGTCACCTAGCAACGCCTCTGATGGAGCCTCTCCTGGTAACATTGCACATAAAGCTATATAACTGCACTTCCTGTTACCCTAAAATATTGTCTTCCCAGATTTTGTTTTGAATATTTTTATTTTTTAGCACATTAGGAATTTAGGCATCAAACTGATTTATAATAACTCAGGGGCTGCAACATTGATCTAACACAATATTCCTTTGGTTGCCTGCGCAGAGGCGGATTTGTTTTAAATGTTTCATTTGTATTTGGTGTTGCAAGTACAAGCAGGTAGTCTTTCTTGTTTCATGGAAAGCTTATGGTTGCCTGCGCAGAGGTGTTTCAGATAAAACGTGCAGGTACATTACTAGGATTTGCAACAGATACTTGCTCTACTAATCCACATGGCTTCATTCAGGTTGTGGGTTTAGACTATTTTTCCATTTGTCTTGTTGTTTGTCATCTAGCTGTGTGTTGCTAAGGGTAGACAGGTAAACGGAGTCGTTACCAGAGAGGCATGGTGGTGATGGCGTGAAGGTCTAAGGCTAGTCTTGGGGCGTGATTTCCCATTTCCCTTGGGGGCTTTGGTGGGTATTCAGCTTGTGTGTTTGGTGCGTTGTTTGTGTTTTGTCTCTGTGCGTGGGGCGTGAACCGTGCGCCTAGGTGGTGATTGTCGTCATTGTTTTAGGTTGCCCGGGCGGTCGTTATGATGCCCGAGGCCCTTTGTGGCTGCGTTGTTTATGTTCTGTGTTGGTGGTCTAGGGAGGCTGTTGTTGTCTAACCTATGTCTCTGATCGCTGCGGAACCCGTGTATGTCTTCTCAGATTTTGTGTCTTGTCTGGAACCTGCAGGATTGTAATGGGCACAAACTGAAACCTTACAAAGTGGCTATGGAGTGAAATAGCTAGATACTATTCACGTGAATAATCAGTCGGCTTCTTCCTTATTTCTCCACTAGGGGGCTGTAAAGAGCACGACTGTTTATGGTTGGCAAAAGACTATGGGGTTGATGCAGTGAGTTTTAGTGAACTTAAAACCAAATTGCCAAAAAAAACTAAACTGACAACTCTCTAACTCAGCTACAATAACAGCCTGCTGGACATAGCCTGAATTTTCACTACAAATCAATCTTAATTTTTGTCTCTTATTCTTCTGCCCTTGAGCCTTAATGTCATTATTTAAAAAAAATCTATATTTATGAGAAAATAAAAAATTTAAATTAATTAAACAAAATTGAGGAAATAGAGAAAATTACAAATTTGTAAGGTTGTTATGAGTAAATTTAGAAATCCGATTAGTAGGATTATATTTATTTGTGTTAAATAGTTTATTTTTATTATGTATGCAACATAAAAGCTGAGAGATAATGGGTCTCAGAAAATAAATGTACCGTTGCCTACGCAGAGGCATGATGTGTCTAACAAAGTAAGGCAGCCACAATGTATTTGACAAATAAATATGCAGAGGCATGGTGTGGCAATTATAGGCGTGCGCACGGGGTGTGCCGGATGTGCCTGGGCACACCCCAATCCCCACGGCACGTCTATGGATTGAGACCGACAGGGGAGATCTCAGGATCTCCCTTGTCAGCTCATGCAGAGCCGGCGCTATCCACAGGCAGGGAGGGAGGCAGGAGAGGACCCGGGGAGCTCGTGCCAGCAGCTCCGCCGGGTTCCTCTCGCGAGATCTGAGCGTTGCTGCGGTTACTGCGGCAACGCTCAGATCTCGTGAGAGTGAACTCTAGCCCCGCAGGCTAGAGTTCACTCTCACCACTAGGACCACCAGGGAAGGCAGAAAGGATCCCCCCTCCCTGGCATAAGGTAACAAGGGAGGTGGGATATTAAGTAATCTGCCCCCACCTCCACTGGACCACCAGGGAAGGCAGCAGCACGGTCCCCCCTTCTTACATAAGGTAAGAAGGGAGGGGGGGATATTTATTAACTAATCTGCCCCCACCTCCACAAATCACCCAAACACACAGCACCCACAAACAACACACACATACAGCACACACAGCACCCCCACACATACAGCATCCTCATATATACAGCACACACAGCACCCACACACATACAGCACCCTCACAAACACACAAAGCACACTAACAGGACCCTAACAAACACACACAGCACCCTCACACACAGTACATTAACAGTACCCTCACAAGCACCCACACACACACAGCACACACACACAGCACCCACACACATACAGCACCCTCACAAACACACACAGCACACAAACAGCACCTCACACACAGCACACTAACAGTACCCTCACAAACACAAACAGCACCCTCACACAGCACACTAACAGGACCCTAACAAACACACACAGTACATTAAAAGCACCCTCACAAACACACACACAAACACCCTCACCCGCATAGCACACTACCAGCACCCTCACACAGCCCACACACAGCAGTGTGTGTGTGTGTGTGTGTGTGTGTGTGTGTGTGTGTATATATATATATATATATACATATACATACACATACGGCGTGTGCTTGTGCTTTAGGGTGCACACCCTAATGCAATAGGCTACGCACGCCTATGGTGGCAATATGAGCAAGGTTATATTTCAGCAGGCAATGGATGAAAAAAGTGTAAAATTTCACAGCTTTCGAGGATATAGCCAGAATAGGCGTTGATAAAATACCAACAATTGTACACAACATGTGGAAACATTGCAGCACAGAACATAGGGAATCAGAAGGCAAACAAAGATCTGCAGAAGAAATAGAATAGTTGGACAACTTTATGCAATATATGCTATGTAGATGAAATATTATGGCGTTGTGTTGTAAAACAAATCAAAACTAAATTTAACAGACCCAAATAGTGCGGATAAAGTTAGGGTATATAATGGCATAGGATGACTAAGGTGCCTCCAAGTATATGGGAAAGGAGCTACTAAGTGGCTCTAGTAATAGGCGGTGATGTCTAGGTCATCAGCATTAACAAGCATCAAAGGCGAGAAAGGTTACGAACCGGGCATCCTTTCTTTAATAAACCATTAGGCAGTAGAGCAAATCGAGTACAAGAGTGTGCTTCCGTTATTGTAAGTGGCTGCAGGAAAAGTATGCCTTCCAACATTCAGTCGGACTCTAAACACCTATCCGATTACTAAGAAACATGTCAAGAATAGAACAGTGACTCTATTGCCATCAGGGCTTGAATCTCCAATTCAAAATGATCCAATTCCTGAAACCAAATTAGAATAAAAATAAAGAGAAGAGCTCTTTGGTTAGCCAGTTACGTGAAAGTCCTCAGGTAGGCGCCAGAGGGACAACCCATTTCCTCCTGGGATTTGGTTTCTATCACGTTGGACATAATTGGGCATAATGCCATAAAGGGTGAGCGGGCTGGAGTATGGCAATAACTATATAGGTTAAGCTTTAGATAATTAATGGGGCACCAGGACATGGAATGGTTACTGGGTACGTTGCGGTATGGTAATAACATATTCCTTATGGCAGTGAGCCCCCACACGGCTCCCCGAATCTGTGTGTTGTTTTTTCCATTATTCTGGATGCCGGCTTTATTCAATTTCATGAAGAGCCATCACCTAAGGATAAAACAAAAAATAATTAATTGTAGCATCAATGAAAATTATTGTATGTATTTAAAGATGTAATTATTTTAGAAAGGGAACATTTTTCCTGAACACGTCAAATAAAACAAAATACAATCACATATAAAATGATGTCAGATAATATTGGGTATAAGTGGCGCTTCTAAATGGAGTTGTAAATTCCTCATTTTTATATGTTTCAATTATTTTAGCTGCTAACCACTACCTAGTGTAAACCTCAGAACAGTTCTCAATTAAATACAAACCAAAAAAATTGTAGCTTAGAAATCAAAAGATAAATAAATATGTGTAAAATATTACTCCTTTCAAATGAGTAATTACTACTTGAAATGGAGTTATAATTCACACATATTTATTTTTTGACTGATTTCTAAGCGCTACACTACATCTTTGTTGGTTAGTACATCAAAACTGTTTAGGAATAAAGAGATACAGTACTGTGGCAAACCTAGCCACTTTAGGTCCTACTGTGTAACATCTGAACGTTGTCTGTAAAAGCTGCTTTTATGGTGTGTATGGATGTATTCGTGTATTTTTGCAATAGAGAGTATTCATATGCTAACGGCCGTGAAACGAATAAAGTACCGAATGGGAGCCCACACACAGAGGCCCTGGAGCTGGAGGTCCTGAGGAAATTTTGGGGCCCCTGACACAGCTCAAGGTCTGGGCCCACCGGTGCCTGCACCCGAGTCCGCCCAAAGTGCTGCCCCCCCTGAGTCCGCCCACAGGGATGCAGTGTCTGTACTGATTCTGGTGTGTGTGTATAGTGGATGTAGAATGTGTGTAGTGGATGCAGAGTTCGTGTGTTAAGTGGATGCAGTGTGTGTTTAACAGATGCATTGTGTATAGTGGATGCAGATTGTACATTTGTGTAATGTATGAGGTGTATATTAGATGCAGAGTGTGTGTTTATAGTGAATGCAGAGTGTGTATGTGTGTTTGTGTAGTGGATGTAGTGTTTGTGTGTATTAAATGTGATGTATATAGTGAATGCAGAGTGGATGTACTGGGTGTAGTGGATGTAGTGTGTGTATAGTGGATGTAGTGTGTGTGTAGTGGATGTAGTGTATGTATAGTGGATGTAGTGTGTGTGTAGTGGATGTAGTGTGTGTGTATAGTGGAGAGTGTCTTTGTGTAGTCGATGTAGTGTGTGTATAGTGACTGCAGATTGTGTTTGTGTAGTGGATGTAGTGTGTGTAGTGACTACAAAGTGTGTGTTTGTGTAGGTACTGCAGAGTGTGTGTTTGTGTTAGGAAGTAGTGTGTGTAGGTACTGCAGAGTGTGTATGTGTGTGTGTGTAGTGACTCCAGAGTGTGTGTTTGTGTAAGGATGTAGTGTGTGTAACTTTTAGTGAATATTGTGTGCATGTTAGTGAATAGTGTGTATAAATGTTAGTGTATATTGTGTGTAAATGTATGGGGCTGCAAAATGTGGGGGGAAAAGCCTACAAGTTTTTTTTCCATCCATTAATTGTATTGTTTTATTCCCCCCTCCCTCTATCTCACCTGTGGCCATGGAAGGGGGAGATCACATTGGGTAGAGCCCTGGAGCTGGAGGTCCTGCGACCCCGGTATGTACGCCACTGAATGTGGGGCCCGAGACGACCTGAGCAGTCCGGGACCCCCAGGACCGCAGGGCCCATGACAACCGTTATGGTTGTCATGCCCTGATGGCGGCCCTGGGTTGAGGTTCCTGGCAGCTTTCAGAATTGCTCTGAGTTCTTAGAGATTTGAGTGTAAGGTATTCTTCTGTGTGTTCCAGGTTCCTTGAGTCCATGCTGATCCTATGTGTGCTCCCCATCCTGTCAACTGACATCTGTTGTCATTATCTTCCAAGGGTGATCTTCTAGAGCAAGCATGTCAAACTCAAAGTCTAGCAAGGGCCAAATAAACAAGGTTTACGTTAATGTGGGCCACAAAAACCCCCCAAAAACTTACATTTTCATAGAATCGTAGTGTGACTTGGCTTTGCGTGACTCTGTGCACCTCCAGGTCCTCCACTGTGCAGCTGCCGCCATCGCAACACTAACCAACACACAGACAGACAGACACAGACAGACAGACACACAGACACACACAAACACACACACACAGAGACAGACACAGACAGACAAACACACACACATTCACTGACACACATACATTCACTGACACATTTACACATTCTTGCGCACACACTCACATTATTGTTTTATCCCTGGGGTCCAGTGGAGATCTTCTATCTGGAGCTCACCGCTCCCTCGCACGCGCTGTCTGTAGTGATGCCGTGCGCTGGAATATGACATCATATTCCGGCAACCAGCATCACTAAACTGCGTGCGAGGGAGCAGAGAGGAGCAGGAAGGCTGAGCTCCCTCGCTGGCATCCACCTTCCTCTCCTCCTGCTAGGTAAATGTTAGCAGAGTAGGGACCTGCAATGTGGGGAAAGCAGGTGACTACTCTGCTTGGAACACCAAGCATGTACTTGTGGCACGCCGGGCCGCAAAGATGTCCATCATGAGCCTCATGAGGTTTGACATGCTTGTTCTAGAGGAAAGCCCTGTAGGAGATTATTTTCTTGTTGCCACCATCTACTGGATCTCCTGGAAGATAAATGTGAACAGACTTATCCCAATTGTTTACTTTGTTGTCAAATTGGTGTAGAAAATTTGATTGCATTTTTCTGGAGTTCTATTGTGCTCTCTGTACCAGTCCTATTGTGGATGTTAGAGATCCCAGCAAGCTTATGTAAACTCTGGCTAAAACATATGTCTTCTGTAGAAGAAGAAGAACTTTGTATTTGATTTTTAAAATTCTTTCTTGGGAGATATTTATTTTTCCCTGAAATCGTGTTTGTTTGCACCTAGAAATACCATATGTTTAAGTTTATCATTGCGCCATGTTCTTGGAGACTTCTTAAGATTATGTTGGTATGGACGTCAGATATTTGTCTTGATGGAGCCGCAATCAGGATATTAGCCAATTAGTGTAAAATCTTTTTTCCTTGGTTCCTGATAATGCAATAAGCACCACTAGTATTTTTGTGAAAGTTCGGGGTGCTAGACTTACCCAAAGGATACACCTCTAACCTGGGCATGCTTTCCAAAGTTGTGGAATCAGAGAAAACTTCATGGTGATGATCAATAAGAATCTGATAGTTTGCAACCTTTAAGTCTATAGAGGTCAACCAGTCTCCTTGATTGATGCTGGGAATAATTGCAGAAATGGAATCCATTTTAAAAGCCTACTTTATCAGGTAAGTATTAATTTCCTTTAAATCTATAATAATTCTCCAGTCTCCATTGTTTTTTGGAGCCAGGAAAACTATGGGATTAATTCCCTTGAATTTTTCTGCCCCTTTGAATACATGGGAAGGTGTGCCCCTCCCCCATTTCCTGTCTATTGTTCTCCAGCAGGGCGTTGTCCCAGGGACACTGCCAGAGCAATTGGAACTTGCTGTTTTGCCCTTCCTCTGTCTCTCATCAGCCCATGCTAGACTTAAACCCTATGGCGACTTGACTGTGTTTGTGGGATCTGAGCGATGTTTGGATATATTGAGCGCTCATATTCAAGCCATCTGGGGATAGGTTGAATGTGGGGGTTCTGTTCAGTATGATAGGAATTATGTATTTTTGTGTATTTTTGCTCTTGTGAATAGACATTTTCTATACCTGGAGATAGTTGGCTTACCACAACCAGTTAAGCCCATTATCTCCAGGATAGAGGACTCTGTGGAACTGGTTTTGGCTGGAAAGCCATGCTTCAGTGGTCACAAAGGACTTCGACCTAACTTTTAAACCAATGGAAGGAATTGTCTGATTTTTGAGTATGTATGTATTTGGAGTATGCTGATTAAAATGTTTTATGTGAATGTGATGTATACTTTTGGAGTTATGAATATTGTGCAAAACTGTGTATTTTCTGCCTGTGATAATTAGGTTAGTCTATTGTATTGAGATAATTGTATCACAGGCAGAGGGGAGGATTTTTGCTGGTATGAATGGGAGTGTTTAGCTGTGTTGTAATGATTGGTTGTTCTTCAAAACCCTGTGGGCAGTACTATGTTTGTAAAATGGGCATAAAAGCAGAGTGTTGGATTAAAAGTTTCAGTTCTACTTCACCCTCAATTTGGAGTGCCGTCTCTTATTGGGGGAATCTGCTACAAGGGATTGCTATGCTTGTCATACTCCCTTGCTAAATCACTACTAAGCTCTTGTAAGAGCTTGTTCCGGTTTTTGCTCTCTGAAGGAGTCTACGGTGGTTATGGTGTCTGCTGGAGTGCTTGGAGCCCTCAGGAAGCGCTAGGAGCATCCTTCAATGGAGGTACCCAGTCGGGGTGCCAGGTGATCCGTTACACCAGGAATCTGTGGCCTTGCTACAGACCTGGTCCTATGACTGGTCGGTTCCCCGTACTCCCCTGTTTGTTTCTCGAACAAGTGACCCCCCCCCCCCATTTGTCTGTCGAACCCTCTGTGTTCCCCTGGCTCTATATCTTCTCTCCCCTCAACGACATCTAAGCGCTTTCAAAACCACTTTGTCTCCCGATTGCTGACAACGGTACTTTGTCGTCAACTTACTGGAACCGTGGCCACTTGACCATGTGGTTCCCGGTCCATTTGTTCCATCAGTTTGCCTCACTTACAGACATGACAGGAGAGTGCTAATTGGAGGTAAGTTACTATGGACGGTGAGAAACAATTGCTCCCTAAGAACCAAGGGGAGCACCCATTTCTTCAAGTACAGGAACTCCTGAAAGTTGACTGGCCAAAACCACTGTCTACCCGCAAACTATTTTGGGCATCACCCACGTGTGCGGCTGGTCAGAACTTTAACCCGATGGCGATTCTCCTACACTGCATGGATCTGAGCGCTATTAGGACAACTTGGGCACTCAGATCAGAGCTATTCGGGGGATATATGCTCCTGTATGTTTTAACTATGTTTTTGGGTACTTTTATGTTTGGGAGATAATTAACTTACTAGTCTTTGACTCAGTTATCCCCCAGACACAGACGCCTAGGCAGAGATCGCATTTTACTGTATGGAGACCCCATGCTGGGGTTCTGACTTTAAAAGGCCTTGTCTCTGAATAAACAAATTGTTGTACTCTCAGTACTGTGTGTCATCCAGTTACTGGGACTTGAAAGATCTATTCACTTTTCAGAGCCTTGTTCCAGCTCAGGAAGGATTTAGAAAGTACTTGTAAAGGCTAGAGATCTGCTACGGGCATTTTTGGAGTCTTCCTACTATGAGGTCTAACTGGGTCTGCACACCTTCAGAAATGTTGTAGATTTACGGGATCCTCTACCTTTCACCTTGGGTTTCTGAGGTTCTCAATGAGATCTTCTCTTCTGACTCCAGAGTAGATGTCCTCTTTCTAAATTGTCTATCCACACTTTCACTGCTTGGAATAGGGTGGTTAAGCTATGGCTTGCTGTGAGGCAGCACCAAAGGATGGGTAAGCCTTAATTAGGTTGGCATCTAATCATTTCCACATTGGGTCTCTTAGGAAGGCCATGGAGTCAGTGGGTAAGGTGGTTCTTTTGGTTAGAAATGAAGTTGTGGACTTTCCTAGCAAGAATTCTATCCTTAAAGGAGAAACGTTCTTGGGAACCCACAACAAAACCTGTGTGGACACTCCAGTTATGTCCTGGGGCTTAACCCCTATGAAATTCTATGAATAAGAAAAAAGCTTAAACATTGGAAAGACTAGTCCAGCAAAATAAGCTAAAACTGGAAAAATAATAATATAAATGAAAATAATAATCATAATCATTCAAATACCTTTTCAAAATATCTACCTAAGTTATAATGTTCCATAACATCTAAATCGTGTTTACAACCAAAAAAGGTTATACCTCCCTCATAGTCTACTGTAATAAGAAAATATCCACGACTATTTGACTTTAATAAAACTCAATAGGTCACAGTCTATATTATATGGTCCTAATATTGTGGAGACAGTAGCAGAAAGAAAGTCCTGGTTCTAGATAAATGTGTCTGTTGAAGCAGACAAAAGTAATCAATCAGTGCACTGATTAAATCTCAAACATAAATAATGCTCCAATATAGAGTAAGTAGTAAGAGAGATAATATTGAATAACTAATGTATCCAAAAAGTATCACAGAAAACTCTATAATAGAGTATAACACTTTATCTGTTTTCAGTTTAACCTTGTGAGTAGGATGTTAGAATTATATAGTATCCACTTGCCAAGTTGTTACTCCTACTCAAGCTATAGATAAAGTTAAAGAATCAGGACAGAAAGGGAGGTTTAGAAAAATATTAAAATATGTGCATAGCCATACTTAGAATGTTGGCTACCTGCACATGATTCTGACGAAGGTGCATGCCTTAAGCACCGAAACGCGCGTCGGGTTTTTCCGTTCTTATTCTCTATCTCACTGTCACATTGGGGCACTTTCACTTCTATCATGTGCAGGTAGCCAACATTCTAAGTATGGCTATGCACATATTTTAATATTTTTCTAAACCTCCCTTTCTGTCCTGATTCTTTAACTTTATCTATATCTTGAGTAGGAGTAACAACTTGGCAAGTGGATACTATATGATTCTAACATCCTACTCACAAGGTTAAACTGAAAACAGATAAAGTGTTATACTCTATTATAGAGTTTTCTGTGATACTTTCTGGATACATTAGTTATTCCATATTATCTCTCTTACTACTTACTCTATATTGGAGCATTATTTATGTTTGAGATTTAATCAGTGCACTGATTGATTACTTTTGTCTGCTTCAACAGACACATTTATTTAGAACCAGGACTTTCTTTCTGCTACTGTCTCCACAATATTAGGACCATATTGAGTTTTATTAAAGTCAAATAGTCGTGGTTCTTTTGGTTATCTTGATAATCGCAGCCTCAATTTGGGGTACCTATTTCTATGGCTTGCAATCCTTTGAAGCGAATGGATATATTTTCTGAGTTTTAGGAATAAATTCTTATCGGTCTGAATGAGGACAATATAAAAGACTGTTGTATGGAAGGAGGTGGAACCTTTTATACACTGACTCAGTCTCTTTTTATTGGTTTATCCTGATCATATAAGTATTTATGTATTGAATAGAGCACATGCCTTTGTTTTGGTTTTTATTTGATAATTCTGGGGATGTTTTACTGGGGTTTTAACACGTGTTTGAGTTTATGAATTATATTGTAATAACTTACAGTGTTTGGTATGGACTGCAACCACGCAGCCGGTCAGCATTAGAAGCAGTAACAGGACAATGCCATGTCTCCACACTGAAATTTGGAGCTGCGCGGGTTCTTTTTCTGAAATAAAACGTTGTAAATGTATTGACTCATGTCGAGTTTAGTTACATAATAGTAGACTTGACAAGAAAATGAACCATGACTCCCTTATGCCTAATAATATTAATGTAATTCCCATGACTGTGCCTTTTCTGAAATTCTGCATTTTTGGACTAAGCCCTACTTTTGTATTTATTCGACCATAATATAATTCTCCCTTTAGGCGCACCCTGGCACAAAGTATAATGTTTTTTAAAAGAAACATACCCTGTAAAAATAAAAAATAAGTGGGGTACAAACAGCAGGAAAAAAAACTGCTATTACAAACCTTGTGAGACAAAGAAAAGAAGAAAATATACTTAAAATATGGAGATGGATCTCAATGGTACCTGATACATAAAGCTCCCATGTCATAATATTCCTTCCTGTGTTTGCGATTATCGTACAGGTGTAATTCCCGGAGTCAGTGCGATGAGAGTCTGTTATCTGTAGACTGAGTGGCATTCCGCGCTCCAAGAAGGAAATTCTAGAATCTGTGAAATTTGTAAATATTGAAGGAAGTGTCGGGTTTATGGAATTATTATTTATAAATGAATGAAGCAGAATGTGAGTGTGATTTTCTTTTCTCCAGACGATTTGCTTAATATCTTCTGGTTTTATTCCCTGTGTGCACCTCATGGTCACCGGGTCCCCAGCAACATGTGACACAATACGGGCAGAATTCACTGGAAACAATCCTGAAAGACATTTAATCCAGCATTTATTCTGCACCGAGACAAGAGACGCTCAATACAGAGCACAACCCATATATTCTGTGTATAAAAACAGCCCGGGAGCTGGTGAGAAGTCCAACTCCAGGTATTTATCATTGTCGATTTTTATAAATATAATAAGATGTTGTGAACCCAAAACAAGTCTTAACAAACAATATAAAACTCCTGATACACACAGGGATTCTTCATATTTATCCCCGGGAAGGTGGGGGTGGTCGGGGTCTAAATTACATATCATTATTAACAGGAGACCCCAGTGAGCACCATTTGATTGGGAACCAAGCCTGTCCCTAGAGGTGTGTTAATCCTGCAATGGAAACCTTGTAATTTATATAAAACAGCAATGCTTTACATTGCAGGGATAAAATTACAGGGCCACCTCGCCCAGAACTCTTTATTGAGATGAAATGGCCTGGGTGACTTTAGCGTTCCTTTAAAATCAGGTCTCTGTACGGCTGTATCACCCTCATTTTATATTATATACATTACTATATAGTCTCTCATTTGAGGTGTAGGAATAATAAATTCAGTCTAGCTATTTATTTAAGTTCCCTGGTTATGATTAGAGGACCCATGTATTAAATGTTTTTTGTTAAAGAATTTAAAAGTATAATGCTATAATAGCTGCCATATAACAGACTAGATAAACTGGGTTTGTGAGTTTCAATTTTGGAGTTTCTGTGCATTAATATATCTTTTATGAAATAACAAATAACATATGTTTAATAATTGTATAAAGCTTTCCTATGGTGAAAGAACGAATGCGAGCGCGGCCATAGCGCATGCGCATTAGATCTCCCCCACCGGATGATGTTGGCAGGTGAGGAGCGAAGGCGGAGTTAGCGCCGATGTCCATCATTAAGACATGGGCGCTGGACTCAGGTAAGTCACAGAAGGCGTTTATAACCACTTTTGTACCACCGCACGGGGCTAGGAAGGGGGACACTTTAGGGAGCTACAGTGCCAGGAAAACAACTTTAAGAAAATCTTTATCCTTTTTTGTGGCATAATGCGATAGTTAATCGTTTTGGGTTTTTTTTTGCCTTCTTTTGGGTCAACAGCAAAAAAGAATGGGTTTGATGTGTCTGATGGCTTTTTTTTTTTTTTTTAACCTAGACAACAATATAATCTGTGTTTCAATTAAATGTTATGCGATTTAAAAAAAAAAAAGTATTGTTTCAGATAAGATCTGACATAATAATGTTATGGCCTCCAGTTTAATACCGGTGTTAAACGCATGCTGGTAATTTAACCTACTGAGGTAGGTGGGGGCCTTGGTAGCCATAAAATGTGTCAATAACATCATCTTTAGAAAACAATAAACATCATGTGATCGAATTTATTTTTACATTAAAATGTCATGTTTTAGTAAAACAAATGTTCCCTCTGGGAACCAAAGTATTTGGAGTAACAATTATGAATAGAGCGGAAACAGATGAGTGAAATAACGTCCCAATAGAAATAAATGTGCAAAGTAAAGTGTGATTAAATACTATATTAGAATATACCTACGCATACCAGTGCTAAAGTAATATGGTGGATTGATTTAATATATTGCTTGGAAAAACATGCGTGGTATGTCTACTAAATGCAAAGATTAAAAAGGGGAGGTATCAAACAGTGGAGAAAAATACTATTGAGGAGGGACCAATAATCTCTCAAAATTCTCCACTAGGGGTAACTATGTAGATCTGTGCTTACAGGTACCCAAATGGGCTTGATCCTTCTAAATAAACAGAACAAAAAGAAAGCAAGGAAAGCCAAACAGGTATACGTCCACCTCTTTGCGAGATATCTTAGGAGGAGCTATATAGAATTCAAGCCTCCATAAGTATCTCTGAGGACCTTATTGGTCCCTCCTCAATAGTATTTTCCTCCACTGTTCGATACCTCCCCTTTTTAATCTTTGCATTTAGTAGACATACCACGCATGTTTTTCCAAGCAATATATTAAATTAATCCACCATACTTTAGCACTGGTATGCGTAGGTATATTCTAATATAGTATTTAATCACACTTTACTTTGCACATTTATTTCTATTGGGACGTTATTTCACTCTTATCTGTTTCCGCTCTATTCATAATTGTTACTCCAAATCCTTTGGTTCCCAGAGGGAACATTTGTTTTACTGGTTCATATACAGGGTTAGGCCCTTAATTTGGAGGACATCTAGCTATTATCTTGTGATGTTTTAGTGAATATAAATGTACAATTACTTGTATTATATAATCATTAAATAAAATATTAACAGTAGATACAGCATCGTTGAGACAAATGTATCATATGTCCTCAATGGTAATATTATACAGTAAGGAATTTAACTATGAACAATGAAGTAAATGGTATCAGTGTTGAAAGAATGTATAAGAATTAGAGGGAGATGACTTTTAGAAAAAAAATTGCAAAACAAGAAATGAGTTGGCTATTTAAATCAAGAACAGTCTAAATGCCAAATGAGAGATCTGTCATTGTTATTTTAAATTCATACTAATCTTCATACCTGCCAACATTCCCGGATTCAATGTGACAGTCCTGTTTTACAAACCCTCTACTGAACTGCTCTATCTTCCATTCCGCATTCATATCTCCCAATATTAGGAACTAGGCATATGATTCATATTTTGTATTTAATTTATAATCCTATGTCATATCATACTATAATGAATGAATTAGATTTTCTGTTTGTGCTAATTCTCTAACGTATTAAGGGTTTATTCCCTAAACAGTGAGCTGAGATAACGACTAGATTGGAAAAATAGATGAACTTTGAAACGTTTTCAGTTTTTTAGTTTTTACAATTTAGCCGTTTTGAATTAGTTTTCAAGTTGTCCCTACTAGCAACTCACAATTTAGTAAATAAACTCCTTATCTGGATTATCGGAGAGCTGACACATTGAATGATTCCTACCTGCAGTCAGTGGAAGACACAGAACGAGCAAGGTGGATGCAGCCATTACTGACTCATTACTGACGTGTTCCGTGTCCCAGGCAGGGAGCGGGGCTGCTTGAGCTGCGATTACTGAGTATTGGTGACAAAGTAAGGGGAGGAAATGATGGGAGGAAATGGTTGGACATCTAACTAACAACGAGCGATCTTGTATACATCTTGTTTGTAATGCCATTGTTTGTTTGTTATTGTTATAGCTCAGCCTCTGATATAGTTGACAATATTAAATACACGACATAAAGGGAATAAAGACAGAACTTTGTCTGATGAACAGAAACATAATACAGATTAAGGAACAGCGCACACATACAGTTTAACATTCAATAAGGCAACTAAAAATCACCTGTACCTTCTGACCCCTTTTTGAATATAGTAACCACATCTGCCTTCCTCCAATCCTCCGGTATAATTCCTAAAATAAAAGAATCCTGAAAGGTTGAAAACAGAGGTTTACTTGTGTAGCGGACCCCAGGTAACCCGACTGGTTACCTCCGTTAATCCTTTCCCTCAGCCACTCAGGAACCCTTACAACGAACAGGCATCTCTTTCCCACCCCAGTAACTGGACGAGACACAGCTCTGGGGTTACAACACATTTTATTATGCCACACTCTGCTTTTATGCATAATCCCTTGCAAGGGGTCTTCTACACAAACAGGGGTTTCCATCCCAGGATCCTCTGTACCTGGGAGCACCTAGTCTCTTTGTCTTCCAGGTACAGAAAGCTCACCCCACATAAAAGGGGTCTCCCATACCAAACGACAGAAGTCTTCATCCCAGGATCCTATGTGCCTGGGAGCCCGGCGTGGGAAAAGGGGACCTAGTTTCTTTGTCTCCCAGGTACAGAAAGCTTGCCCCACATACAAGGGTCTCCCATACCAAACGACAGGGGTCTTCATCCCAGGATCCTATGTGCCAGGGAGCCTTGGAGCAGGAAAAGGGGACCTAGTCTCTTTGTCTCCCAGGTACAGAAAGCTTGCCCCACATACAAGGGGTCTCCCATACCAAACGACAGGGGTCTTCATCCCAGGATCCTATGTGCCAGGGAGCCTTGGAGCAGGAAAAGGGGACCTAGTCTCTTTGTCTCCCAGGTACAGAAAGCTTGCCCCACATACAAGGGGTCTCCCATACCAAACGACAGGGGTCTTCATCCCAGGATCCTATGTGCCAGGGAGCCTTGGAGCAGGAAAAGGGGACCTAGTCTCTTTGTCTCCCAGGCACAGAAAGCCCACCAAATGGGCCAGTGTCCCAAAAGTGTCCCCACCAACCTCAAGAACCCCTACCCCGTGCATTTCCCCTGCTGGTCTCTGTTCGTGAGGCTCCTGTGAGAACTCCGGGCAAGGGAAGCATCTCCTTTCGGGATACGAATGCTCCTCCAGGTTGGAGTTTGTCTATTTAAAATGGCGGCCACCCAAGGGGAGCACTCATTAATTACTTACCTTGCGGTTTCGCACTTATGCTGCAGGCGTGAACATTCTAATGGGGCACTGGGGTGGTCCATGTTTGGGAGACTAATGGGTTCCGTTCGTAGGAGCATTCCCAAACGGGGAAACAGGACACAGTTCAAGAAGCACTAGAAGAAACATGCAACATTGGGGAAAAAAAACACACACAAATAAGCTGTGGTTCTGCCACAACTTATTTCCAGACTTAGCTCCTTAAAGGGATACTATGGAGCTAGGAATACAAATCTGTAGTCCTAGCATTATATTTCCCTCAGCCTCCCCCCGACCTCGTGGCCTACCTTCCGGCACTGTAAAGGTTAATAAATCCTTACTGTACCTGTTTTTTAGCACCAGTCTCCCTTGGCGCTGTCGACGCTCTGCCTTCTCCGTTACCCAATGGGAGGGCGCTAGTGGCATGTATGGAACATGCCATTAGCACATTAGGCCCTACCCATAGGAATATTTCCCCTCTCCATGAAAAGTTGCTTTCTGCATGTGTGTATTTATGGACTTTTTTTTCACAACCACTGCAGTGCTTCAAATGTATTGACACTGCACCTTTATTGTTCTGTTAGGAATACAGACATAAACTTGGGTTGAAGTTACCAGCATTTGATATAAAGTCCTGCAATTTCTACACTATAGCAATTTGTTCTAAGTTTTAAAGAGGACCTGCCAGGCCCCAAACAAAGTTTCCTCAATAGATTGCGCATACAGCTCTATCTATACATTGTGTTAGCAGTTCTACTAACAAATGTATAGATTAGCAGAAAAACCTATTTAACAATTTTTTTTTCTCTCCGCTGTCAGTCGGGCATTAACTGACATGGTAGAGTAGAAAAGATCTCACACAGGAAGTCCTCTGCTCTCCACCCATAGCAACTACTGGCTAGGGAATATGGGAACGACTAGCAACCACAGTATAGGGAGTATTCGAAGTGCTAGCAACCAGTGGCTAGGGAGCATGGGAACGGCTATATACAGCTGGCTAGGGAGTATGGGATCGGCTGGCAACCACTGGCTAGGGAGTATGGGAACGGCTAGCAACCACTGGCTAGGGAGTATGGGAACGGCTAGCAACCACTGGCTAGGGAGTATGGGAAAGGCTAGCAACCACTGGCTATGGAGTATGAGATCGGCTGGCAACCACTGGCTAGGGAGTATGGGAACGACTAGATAAAGCTGGCTAGGGAGTATGGGAACGGCTAGCAACCACTCGCTAGGGAGTATGGGAAAGGCTAGCAACCACTCGCTAGGGAGTATGGGAACGGCTAGCAACCACTGGCTAGGGAGTATGGGAAAGGCTAGCAGCCACTGGCTAGGGAGTATGGGAACGGCTAGCAACCACTGGCTAGGGAGTATGGGAACGGCTAGCAACCACTGGCTAGGGAGTATGAGAAAGGCTAGCAACCACTGGCTAGGGAGTATGGGAAAGGCTAGCAACCACTGGCTAGGGAGTATGGGAAAGGCTAGCAACCACTGGCTAGGGAGTATGGGAAAGGCTAGCAACCACTGGCTAGGGAGTACGGGAAAGGCTAGCAACCACTGGCTAGGGAGTATGGGAAAGGCTAGCAACCACTGGCTAGGGAGTATGGGAAAGGCTAGCAACCACTGGCTAGGGAGTATGGGAATGGCTAGCAACCACTGGCTAAGGAGTATGGGAACGGTTAGCAACCACTGGCTAGGGAGTATGGGAACGGCTAGCAACCACTGGCTAGGGAGTATGGGAAAGGCTAGCAACCACTGGCTAGGGAGTATGGGAACGGCTAGCAACCACTGGCTAGGGAGTATGGGAACGGCTAGCAACCACTGGCTAGGGAGTATGGGAAAGGCTAGCAGCCACTGGCTAAGGAGTATGGGAACGGTTAGCAACCACTGGCTAGGGAGTATGGGAACGGCTAGCAACCACTGGCTAGGGAGTATGAGAAAGGCTAGCAACCACTGGCTAGGGAGTATGGGAAAGGCTAGCAACCACTGGCTAGGGAGTATGGGAAAGGCTAGCAACCACTGGCTAGGGAGTATGGGAAAGGCTAGCAACCACTGGCTAGGGAGTACGGAAAAAGCTAGCAAACACTGGCTAGGGAGTATGGGAAAGGCTTGCAACCACTGGCTAGGGAGTATGGGGACGGCTAGCAACCACTGGCTAGGGAGTATGGGAAAGGCTAGCAACCACTGGCTAGGGAGTATGGGGACGGCTAGCAACCACTGGCTAGGGAGTATGGGAACGGCTAGAAACCACTGGCTAGGGAGTATGGAAACAGACTGAAGCAATGATGCAATGAAGCCAGCATGCCGAAGTCACTGAGGTGATTTGTCCTGTTTGGGGATGAGTCTCAAACAGGACAAATCAAAGACAAGTCCAGGTGGAGCATAGGACGAGCAAAAGAGAGCATAGGACGGCCCAGAGGTGGGTGTTACGTGAAGAGCAACACCTTTGATGTAATGTTGGAAAGTCAGTAAATCTTTATATTTTACATTGAATACACCATACAACTTTTTGATATGGTATACTGTCATACGGTATCTGTTCCGGGTTCGGCATTTCCGGTATGCGGAGCCGGCCCCGCCCCCTTCTGGCCCGGCTCTCTTACGCTATTTAGAGAGACCGTGCAGGATACAAACTGCTTGGTGATTTTTGGGACCTACTTCCGTGTTCAGACGCCGGCTACACAAGCTTCACTAGCAAGTCTTCCTAACCTTTTGAACTATTAAAAGGATTGTGCTTTACATCCTCTATTGGATCCTGGAAAACGGACTGTTTACCAATTTATACTTGGACTCTAATTCCGATCTCTTGGAGGACAACTCACATAAATCTTAAGTATACTTTTCATTTTTATTCTCTGGAGCCTCAGTTATAAATGAACTGGTTCTTGCTTGCTAAAATCTTCTCTGCTGATTGCATGCTATTCCTATGGAAGATAACTCCCATCAAGCTTAAGTATACTATTCAATTTATCTCTGAGGATTTACTTATTAATGAACTGTCTTGCTTGCTAGAACCTACAGTTTCTTCTTATTCAACTGTTGCCTATATGCTATTATTCAGTTACTAAAATTTATTGCAATCATTAAAACTTCGTTTAATTCTCTAATTGCCTTCAATCACCTCTTTGTTTAAAGCTACAGTATTGATAATTTAGAAGATTCTCCGTTTCATTACTATTGTAATTAGGAGTTCTACAAGTTGCAGTTGAGTTCCAATTCCAAAAACCCTTGTTGCATAACATATACTTAATGCATATGGGAGCAATTTCAGATAAGTTAATATCTTCATTACAGATTCACTTTAAATGGATACTTCAACATTGTAGTCCAGTCACTCAAGGATCAGTTCAGCAGGTTTATTGAAACAGAGTGCAATGTTTCGATCCCACAAGGGATCTTTCTCAAGCTTGCATTCTGTTCCAATAAACCTTTTGAACTGATCCTTGAGTGTCTGGACTACAATTTTTGTTCAACTATCACATGAGCGGTAGCCAACTGCAGGTCTGGTTACACCAGGATTGTAATAAGTGTGTGGTATCTCTCTCTCTCTCTCTATATATATATATAAAAAAAAAATTGTTTAAATGGATACTGACCCTATATAATGGTATAGGGATCAGTGAGTGCCAATGGGGCTCAAAGTTTTTAAATATCGTGGGAACCAAGACATTAATTGTTAATTATTTTGTGTACGTTTTCAGTTAGTTTGTTATACAGTATGGAGTATCGCAGCTCAGGTTCCCTCTGAGATTATGTAAGGTCTCCTTTCAGTTTTCTGGCGTAATAACCAATTCAATTTGGAGGATCAACGTTAGTATTTTCTGGATATCTCTTGTAGAGTGTGCATAGTTTTGTATATATTTTTTTAAATAAACAAGAAATAAATCAGCCAGATTGACTGTTAAAAATTAACTCAAATATAACAGAACACTACAAATTTCAATGTGGACCAAATTCGAATTGGAAAATATAATTCTATTTGCTCTGAAATCAACTGGATTTCAACTGGAATTAGATTTATTGAAAAGACTGGAAGAAAACAAAGAACAGTCATAGGCTTATTATACATGTCTCTGTTGTTTCCCTGAACCATTTGCAAGAATGATATTCAGATGAGCTGAATTGCTGCATCAATGAAATTCAGTCGGCCAAATGAAAAAAAAAAACGAATTGGCCGAATTATTTGCCCAAACTTGCACAAGTTAAGTGGGGATAACAATGTCGAACCTTTGCAGCAACGCTGCCTCCTCCTGGAGCTTGCCAATCATTGCACAGAGAAATGTATGTAACGGATCACTGAATGTTGACCAAATCCGAATGGTAAAATGTCATTCTATTTGCTCTGAATTCAACTGGAATTAGATTCATTGAAAAGACTGGAA